AAAAGTTTAAACTGTTTTAACTTTGCATGGCTACATCTCTTGTGTGAGACGCGAGTGCAGCAGTCATATTTGTCCGTCTAAAAATGCGCTGAATATGCATTTGTGTGAATGGCTTTGGTTTCGGTTTTCACCTAATCAAGATCTTCTCCGCATTGAGCTTCTATATTTCTCTTAATATTTTGAATGCATAACACCGCAGCGGCACATCTCATGGGCTAGACTAACAACAAAACATTAAAATGCAACAACGTTACTTACATCATTATCACTGCATCTCGTGCTCCACTGATGACGCTCCCTGACGCACTCCTACCGTCGATAAATATCGATACCGTTTTATCGCCCGGGCCTAACTAAGATTAACAAAATGCTGTAGAAGTATTGTTCATTCTTAGTTCATGTTAACTAAAGTAGTAATGTAAAGTAGTAATGTTAACTAATGAACCTTATTGTAAATACATAAACATTTTTACATTTTATAAAATAAAAAATGTTACATTATATTTAATATTTAACTATAGATTTTATTTATATTGTTTTTTTATTATCATCTCTCAGTCTAGTATTTTTGTTATTAGTAGAGTATATTTATATTTGAATAATCCTATTAATAAATTTTATATTTTATTATATTATAAAAATGTTTAATTTATTTTATTTTAATTATTTCTTAATTTCTGTTTGTTTTATTTTATATTATAATCCATCCTTCCATCTAGTACTGTTATTTATGTTGTTCTGTGCAGAAGTCTCAGGTTAGCGGTGAGGTGGCACCTCCAGCAGGTGATCTGTCAGAGGAGGTGGATGAAGCTCAGGTGAGTGGCGCTCCACCCTTGGGAGAAGAGGAAGGCTATGACGCAGACAGTGAAAGTAACCCTGAGGACTCCATCCGTCAGGAGGAAGGTAGTACCACCCATTTATACTGACATGAGAGTCTGCATTGTGCTGGTCATATGTGTGCTGACACTTGTGTTTAACTGTAGAGTGTATGTGCATATTATCCAGAGCCAAAATAATCTTGTGTAGTTTGTTGGCTTTAAAGGCTCATTATGTTAATGTTAACATCCTGAAATGAGAGTGCAAACTAATTATCATCACCGTTAGCCAGGCTGAGAAGTGCATAGTAACTGATAGCAGGGGAAGTTTCTAGAATGCATTAGCCAGTCTGAGCCGGTTAGTGAACGTCTGGTCAAGCGATACGTGATCCTGTTCTCTAGTCACATGCAGCGCTGGCTCTCTCGCCCTGATAATGGTATCATTGTTTCCTTCGGCTATGATGTAAGACCGCCATGTTGAGCCATGTCTTGTGACTGCAGCTTCTGACCAGTCTATTACATACACAGATATGTGCATGATTTTGTAAGTTCACTCGCTTTCACACGAGGGCTTGTGGTTGATCTAATTTATAATGGAGGGAACTGAAGGCAAGGCTTGAAATGGCGAGTCCGGTCTGTGTGTTTGCAGTCTGACTGTGAAAGAGAACTGAATGTGGTTTAGAATAGATAGTGGAGTTTGATTTCAGAATCTGTTCTGTTAATCCACTGATGTGACAATACTGTAATTTCATTCATTTAGACAAAGAAACATGCCTATCACTCATGTCTACTGTCTGTTTGTCTGTCTCTCTCTATTGTTTTATCCATCGTTCTCTGTCTTTATTTGTCTATCATGTTTGTATTTCTATCGTTTTATCTATCTATGTATCGTTCGTTTGTTCGCTTTTCTTTCGCTGTGTCTGTCTTTAGGCCTATATGTGTTTCTAATGTTGTCAGAAGTACAGATGTCGGTACCAGTGGGTACTTAAATGTTAAAAATGTGATGATACCAGCATTTCCCGCTAGCATTTTGAGCACTGTTGTGTGGATTCTCAAACACCTCTGATTGGCCTTTGTGTTCACGCGCTCAACAGATATGTCTGTGATTGGCTACAGTGATCATTGCTTCATGCTGTTCACTGAGCGCTTACACAGATACACACGGGAAACAGATACAGTAGCGGGAAATGCTGGCATCATTACATCTTTAAAATTTCAGTACCGACTTGTACCGACATCGGTACTTTTGACAACACTATGTGTTTCTAAATGTCTTTCTATTTTATTTTTATCTATCTGTAACGTTGTCTCTATCTTTCTATATATCTATCTATCTGTCTGTCTATTTATATAGGCTATGTGTGTAGGGATGTTTGTGACAGAGTGCCCTGTGTGTGTGTGTCTGTATGTGTGTGTGTCTGTGTGAGGCAGAACTTCATTAATGAAAAGCACCCAGATCTTGCGTAGGAGCTGCAGGGTAGTCCACAGTTAAATCATGCGGGTTCTCCGGTGTGTGGCACCTCCATCAGCTTAATTCATTTTACTGAGCAGGAGCTCTGAGTGCTGTGAGCTGCATCTGTACATACTGTACTTGCTCTTCAGTCCTTCTGTATGTACTCTTGCACCACCACCATTTATTATTTTATTATTATTGTGTTACTTATAGTCCGTCTTCTGTCTTCCTGTGACAGGGATAAAGGTGGAGGCTGGAGTCTCATTGGGGGAATGTACGTTAGGAATGGCAGGAGTGCCTCTGGGCTCCGGCCGCGGCCGTCTGCTGTTCCCGGAGATCTGCTTGATGGAGCTGCAGCTGTTAGCCAGCGGCTCTCCGGACCTGGAGGTTTTGGGCCACGTGTTGCAGAGTCTGTTAGGAGCACTGAAAGGCCACCACAACAACGCAAAGCTGCTCTACCAGCAGGTCAAACTGTTATCTCATGCCAAACTGATTTATTTATGTATGCTGCTATTACTTATTGATGCTACACAGTGACATATCTTATTCCACAAGACCTTTTGTCTAAGTTACCTACCTTCAATTGGTAGAAAGTTTTGTTCCAGTAACCAGTTGAAAGAGTATACTTGAAACCAAAGAATCTACGTAGCAGGAACAAGGTGACCTTAAGCAAACCTTTTAGCAATTTGAGATTTTTTGTTATTTTAGCTCTAAAAAGGAGTCTGGATTTTTAAGGTTTACAACTGATTTGTCAATAATGATTTGAATACTGTGACCAGCCAGATTAAATAAACCGTACTGTATTTATGAGGAAATGTGACCCATCATGCTCTTTTTCTCTTGACAGGGTGGTGTGAAAGCCATTTTCACCGGATTTCAGAATATTCTCAGCCAATCAGATGCTTCCTATAAAGGTGTATATTATTTATACTTAAATTATGCATATTTCCTCCAATTATCATTGCTGTAATGTAGTGTTGTCACGATACTGGAATTTCTAACTTCGATAAGATACCTTGAAAAATATCGATATTCGATACCATTTTCGATACCACGGAGTAAGAAACTGCCACAATATTAAGGGGGTAACATTTTTTTTTTTTTAATTTAAAGATGAATATAACAAGTCTAGAACATGACAATGAGGTATATTTTACATGAACAAAAATGTCTTGAGGTAGTGCAGATCTTCTCTGATGTTGTCTTTAAGTTGACGTTTTAGGTTGCTGTCACCTTCCTCAACTGTCAAAGTAGAGAAGATCTTCCAACTCAGAGGCAGGACTGCAGAGAGGGTGGTGTGTTTTTCACCACTAAGGGCATCCGTGAAAGAGCTGAAAGGGCTCAATACCTCTTTTACAGTTTCAAGAACTGTAATATCTGAATCTTTGGGCATGAGGTGCCATTTCTTCCGATCATCAGCTAGAACTGAACAGACAGCTTGCTGCTGTTCTAGAAATCTCTCCACCATTTCATAAGCTGAGTCCCAGCGTGTGGGCTCATCATGGATCATTCTGTGTTCAGGCAGTTGCAAATCTTTTTGTTTTTTCTTCAGCTGTCGCAACATCTTAGTGAAAGTGACAGCTCGGCTATATCGGTGTATCGATACTTCGGGAAATTAGTATTGGTACCGTTCAGATATTTCAGTACTACTGTACAACACTACTGTAATGTGTCCTGATGTTTTGTTTTTTTATTTTTGGGTTTAATCATAATTCTCATTATTCTCAAGGGCTTTCTTACAGTATTTTACTATATTGCACAAAAAATACTGCAATACAATGAATTAAAAAAATAAAATAAAATCATATATATACACTACCAGTCAAAAGTTACAATAAGATTTTAAATGTTTTTTAAAGAATTCTGTTATGCTCACCAAGCCTGCATTTATTTGATCCAAAATACTGTACAGCAAAAGCAGTAATATTGTGTATAATATAAATATAAATATACTGCTTTCTATTTGAATAATAAAAAATGTTTCTTGAGCAGCAAATCGGCATATTAGAATGATTTCTAAAGGATCATGTGACACTGAAGACTGGAGTAATGATACTGAAAATTCAGCTTTGAAATCACAGGAATAAATCACATTTTAAAATATATTCAAATAGAAAGCAGTTATTTTAAATAGTACAAATATTTCACAGTATTACTGCTTTTGCTGTATTTTGGATCAAATAAATGCAGGCTTGGTGAGCAGAAGAGAATTCTTTAAAAAACATTTAAAATCTTACTGTTCAAACACTTTTGACTTGTAGTGTATATACATATATATACATATATATATATATATATATATATATACATACATA